CCAATCTTGAATATTATATATTATACTTGGCCCTAAACTCTCTTTTATAATATAGTAGAATTACAATTTTTACGACAGATGTTGTAATTATATTAAAACCTATTAATATCTTCTGATAGGAACCCATAACTAAATTGGTTACTGGTTCAATAACAAGGAAGGGACCTTGAAGCACTTTAGTCCACCAAAAATTTACTTTTTACAATAAATTTCAAATTTTAAATCCGCTCTTGATAGAGAGAAATCTGCTGAGGAGAACGAAAATATGGAATTATAATCAAATGGGAAAAAGGTCCAAATTTGTCCATGAAATATCGAAAATTTGCATAATTTGGTCTATTCATACACTTGTCATAAGCATAATCGTTGTCCTAATTATTTGAGGAAAAAAGGTTCAAATTTACACCTCAATCTTTAATATGCTTACTCTTAAATTGAAATTGGTTAGGGTTCAAGGGCAAAACTGAGACTTTTCCCTAATAGGAGAGGAAATATGTATTAGACCAAAAGTTTAATGAATGACAAAATTGTTCAATTTCAAATAGTACTGAGACAATTTGACCCATTTTCCTAAACCACTTAGGTATTATAGTTTTATTAAAATGGAGAGTAACCCTATCATTGGGGTGACTTACAAAACATTAGTTGAACGTCTTTGTTCTTTATGCGTTGATCTAAACTTGCAGGTATAAATTAAACTCTTCAAGATGCAACAAGCTAACATCTGGAATAGCATCTGCATAATTAATACTTATTTTTTCATTATAAGAAACTGATATTTGTCATGACTGATAATTGATTTTTGTTACAGGAATATCAGATGAAGAGTATAATTCCATCTCAAATCAGCTTTCCTTTTTTCAAGAATGATGATTTATCTATAACGAGGGAGGGAGTGTGCCATTGATGAAGGATGAGAACATGGTCAATGCACGACCAGGTTGATAGCTTGGCACGAAATGTCCTGCTCCTCTTACCGTCACAAATGTCAAGTTCTCGTATTCCACTGCATAACCACCAACCTTGAAAGAAAAAGGATATATCAATTACATACATGATATTCTTGGAACAAAGTATTGTAATGGTACAAGTGAAGAAGTATAATGACCACTTCGTTACCTCGCCTTGGAAGTACCAAGAGTACCACGGTGTTTTCACTGGTATCTTGATTTTGTTTATATCATATCTAGTCGTTGTTACAGGCAAAACACTATCTGTATCTCCGCTGTTAAAATCATGAGAAAGTGTTACTTACTGAACTGCTACATTTTCAGAAGGAGTAGTTTTTATCGTGAGTTCTTCCTATCTTCCCCACTGTACTTACCTATATATCCAAACCCTAATTCCACTTTGCATGAGCTCTTGAAAGACCAGTAGAACAGTATACGGAGAGTCCTTCCAATGCAAGTGTGAACTGCAGAAGTGAGAATTGAAGCAAATTTAAGCCAAGAAGAAAAACTATCAGCTTTTCCAATTTGAAGCGAAAATGTTATTTAAAATATAACGGTATGTATTACGCGCAAGGAGCCCAGGAATATGGTATTCTTCTGACATTAAGTGCCTTTTGTACTTCAGCAGAGTTTAGGTAAGAGTTTACATAATTGTCTGAGCATGGATCAAATCCACATACCTGTTTTAAACAAAAGAAAAAAGTTAGAAATCTAATAAACGCATGTAAAATCTGCAGAGGGGTGCTAGTTCAGGCGTTGGATGATGTTGTACAGACCCTACTTGATTGATCAGCTCTTGAAATGTGCATTTTATGATATTGCAGGTGTGCATGCTAGAGAAATGGGGGATGAAAACATCCGAACTGTAGAATAAGAAGCAGGTTTATAGACCTGTTGTATCTAATAAAACATTTTACTTGGGACGCTTAATGTTCATTTATTTACACAACCAGCAATAGTAAATGAAAATCTTCTCAAGAACAACAAATGAGCAGTTAGCCAGTTCGGAACTTACGGGAAGTGAAGTATTGGCATTGGGGTCGCACAGTGGGGCATAAATGTCATAGGCATATATGTTTCCTAGAGATGAATCTGCTTGCTTAATGTACTCATTACAAGCTTCTGAGGTTGTCTCTGCTGAGAAGTTGCAATTCAAGACAATTCCATCATGGACTTCATCTGATATTAGTGCATGTGTCCAATAAAAGTCATATGAACCACTCTGCATTGTTTCAAAGTCTAGGAGGGCATTCCCTGTCTGAAAAAAAGATCACATCACTACGCAAATAAGATAATAGTAGTGACTTAATCAGGAGGAAGAATATGTAATTATCATTTTGAATAAGCTTAATTAGCTTACAGCTATTCCTTGCAAGTTAATAACAAGGTTGGGCTCTGTTTTCCTGTGGGATAAGATCAGCTGAGCAAGTTGAGGCACATAGTGGCCAGCATAACTTTCTCCAACAATATAGAAATCTCGATGTTTATATTCTGGGAATCTTTCCATCCAATTGAGGAGAAAGGTGAAACTGTCTTGTCTAGTTTTTTCGTCTCCAGTAATATAATCTGCTGATGTATTAGAGTAAGAGAATCCAACACCAGCTGGTGATTCTAAAAAGAGGATGTTCGCCACTGCATTAATGTCAAAAAGGTACCATAGTTGCACCCAAATGACGACAGATTTTTCTAGCTTAAGAAAGAGGTACTTAAGTACCATTGTTCCATGCAAATTGGTTCAGCCATAACGTTTTCCCATCATTATTAACGCGGAATGGCCCAAGTTCATCCATTGCCCCAGCCCCTAATGAAGAGCAACCAGGCCCTATATACCAATTACATACAAAAACAACAAAGGAAACATGATAAGCTAGCCATCATAAGCTCTTAAGAAACGCAGCCAACTCATAATAACACAGTAAATCCCAAGGCAAGAAAAATATGAGATTAAACTCTTACTAGGTTTGCATGAAACAAGCTAGCGTTAGAAATTAAAACATTCCTCCTCTTGGCAATTCGGGTAAGATGGGTGTGGTGTGTGTGTTTACCTCCATTTAGCCACAAAACGAGAGGCTTTGTCGAAGGGTCACCAGATGATTCAGCCAAATAATAGAACAAGGCTCTACCAGCATTTGCATCAACAGTAACATATCCTGCATATTGATTAAACCTGACTGCACTACTTGGTTGCTCTGGCAGTGCTGAGATCTTATCATTTTCCTTCGATCCTTCTTGTGGCACTATGAGTTCTGACACTGATCTCTGTTTCTCAGAAGCCGGTAGGCTGTGGTTAATAATACTTGTTGTTTTTGCCCATCGGTTCTTGAGAAATTCACGTAGAACATCCGCTTCTCCTGCATAACAATATTGTTGGGCGCTTAGGCAGCACAAAATTAGAGAAAGAGTTAAAACAGAGTTAGCTCTCATTTTCTTCCTACCCATGCAAGAACAAGCAACGTTGAGTGATAACTCAAGGATAATTCTTCTTCATTATTTATAAAGTAAGCAAAACTCTGAGAATTTTATGATGCTTTTTTCTTTTACTTGAAATTGAATGGAATTGAATCCGTGGTAGTGACATCTTTGTCCTTTATTTCATTGGTTAAATGTCACACAAAATTAAGGATATATAGCAAGGATGGTTTGTTGGCTTTAAATTTCATGTCGTTCTCGAACAGCCAGAAATTAGAAAAGGTAGTTCAGAAAGGAAACAAAGACAACATTGAACAGTTAACTAAAAAGAGAAACTTATGGTCTAGGCTTTTCAAGTATGATTATGAGGGATGCAGACAGCTAGACTTGTGTCTCTTCATCATATTAACTGATGATAGCCATCATACTGATTCTAAAAGATCATGGTTTTTTGTTTTTCTTAATCTGATTTAAAGCAACAATGCTGTCATTTAGTTTTATTTCGAACCTATAGCTCCCTAATTTTCTTTGATGTATTTACAGGATGGACTTCGACTTGTGAATATCAAGATAAGTATGGTTTTTTTAATTATTTGAAGAAATTCTACGATAAAATACAACAGGATGACACCCTCCACCTAAAAAGGGAAGAGCCCAGAAAATATCCTTTGTTAAGGTGTGAAAGAAGTTCAAATGCCATTAATTTACCTACAAGTTTGATGTAAAATTGTCTATTTTTGCAACTATATGCTGAAAATAATCGAAAGTGGACATTCATTCAATTTCATGATTAGGGTGGTGTGGTTGTTTCTGTTCAAATTAGCAATCCTACTTTATATGTTGGGTTTGTTACATAATTCTGTTATCTTTCTCATTATTGTATTTCCAAAAGATGCATCGGCACTCACTGTTATCTAAATAGCGTTCAAATTCTTTCAATGTCACTTTCAATTGCAATTATTAACCTCTATTCATTAGGATAACAAATGTAGATAGATAATTGGCAAATTTGACTATGAACATGTAACTCGCCCAATTTGGGAATGTTAACGGGTCAATTAATCAACCCGTTCATAGAAAACGAGAAGAAGTAGATCGCCGAACCTCAACGACATTGTAGAAGAAACAGTACATCCACAACGGCGGTGGGCGGTGGCATTCTCCTTCGCCGGAAGCCGGCAAGGACAGCTCAGTACGTTACTCCAGCGGGCCAACCTCCAAGCCATGGAATCTTTTTGATTCCTCTGTAATGACCCTCACTCACGAGACATGGATAACCTGTAAATTGCGGAGGCCAGAGAGAGAGAGAGCATAAGGTTTGGTATTACTAGCTTATAGCATAAGCTAATAATACAGGGATATGTTATGAGACGAAGATGAAAAAGTTATAATTAAAGATTTGTCGGAAAGAGATATTTTTATTAAATGGCAAGAAAAACTAGGTCAAATAAATTAAAATGGACGAAGTATAATGTTAGATTTGCAACTTATTAAATATATATATAAGTTATGAGGGAATTAAGGTATTTTTTTATGTGGTCTAAAAGATTGAATAATTAATACCTACATTATTATACTCGCATAATTTTAACACTAATTTAAACATTTAGAAAATTTGATGAAGACATATGAAAGGCATCAGAAACCCTCCAATTTAAACATTTCATATATTTAAGTTAACATACAGAAAGGAACCATAAGCCCTCTCATGCTCGAATACAAACAATAAAACAGTAATGAAATAACTAGTTAATTCTACAAAAATTATTCCATATGAAACCAGCAATCCCTTTTTCACAATGTATCTTCTGTTTAATTGAAACCAGGAGGGAGTGTCCCATTGATGAAGGATGAAAACATGGTCAATGCACGGCCAGGTTGATAGCTTGGCACAAAATGTCCTGCTCCACGTACTGTCACGAATGTCAAGTTCTGGTATTCTACTGCATAACCACCAACCTGGATATATGAAATACTTCATTCATATTCATACTGGAAATTAAGAAACTGTAGAGTTAAAGATCGAAATGAATAATGACAACTTGGTTAATTACCTCCCCTTGGAAGAACCACGGGTACCATGCAGTTTTGATTGGTGTTTTGATTTTGTTGATACCATATCTACTTGTCGTTACAGGCAAAATATGATCTATGTCTCCGCTAGAAAAGAAGATGAAAAGGGGCTTGATAAGAAAATGTTGGTATTTGTTTTGGGATCGCTAAAGTTTTCAGTATTAATTTTATGGTGACTGATTCCAGCTTGTTTGATTTACTTACCTATAAATCCAAACTCTAATGCCACTTTGCATGAGCTCTTGAAAGATTGGTAGAACAGTATGTGGGGAGTCTTCCCAAGAGATGCCACTGCACAAGTTTAAAATGTTTAAGAAAGTGATCAAATTAATCGAAAAAAGGGATCAGCAATTTCAATTTGAAGAATTAAAATGTTTAAAAACTCACAGTATCAATTACCTGCAAGATTCCCAGGATTGGGGTATATCTCTGACATTGAGTGCCTTCTGCACTTCAGCAGTGTTTAGGTAATTAAATACGTAATCAGCTGAGCATGGATCAAATCCATCTATCTGTTATCATACACAAAAGAAAAAGTTATGCTATAGATTATTGCTTGTAATTTGGCCGTAGAATGCTGTTGTTCATGGTCTTTTATTTCACTTTCACCTTAATTTGTGACACTGAAAATTTTGAATTGTGGTTTATAAACACGGAGAAGGAATGAGAAGTTAGCAAGTGGAACTTACAGGAAGGGAAGTATAGGCAGAAGAGTAGCAGAGTTGGGAATATGTGTTATAACTATATATATTGGCTTGACATGAATCTGCTTCGCTTGTGTACTCGTCACAAGCTTCTGAGGTAGTCGTTTCTGTTGAGAAGTTGCAATTCTTGACAATTCCTTCATGAACTTCATCTGATATTAGTGCGTGTGACCAATAAAAGTCGTATGAACCACTGTTTGAAGTTTCATCGTCGAGGAGGGCATTTCCGGTCTGAAAATCATGCCATATGCAAATTAATAAGATAGTATTGTGCTCCAATAAGGAGGAAAAAAGAATTGTCATTTGAACAAGTTTAATTAGCTTACAGCTATTCCTTGCAAGTTAATAACAAGGTTGGGTTCTGATTTCTTGTGGGATAAGATCAGCTGAGCAAGTTGGGGCACGTAGTGGCCAGCATAACTCTCCCCAACAATGTAGAAATCGCGGTTTTTATATTCTGGGAATCTTTCCATCCAATTGACGAGAAAGGTGAAACTGTCTCGTCTAGTCTTTTCATCTCCACTAGTATAATCTGATGATGTATTAGAGTAAGAGAATCCAACACCAGCTGGTGATTCTAAAAACAGGATATTTGCCACTGCATAATTATAGTCACTAGAATGTCATTATTATTTATAGGTTTCTGATTCTTTTTCAGTAGTGATGATAGATTTCGCTATTAAGTACCATTGTTCCAGGCAAATTGATTGAGCCACAAGGTTTTCCCGTCTTTATTGACACGGAATGGTCCAAGTTCCACCATCCCTCCATTTCCGAATGAAGAGCAACCAGGTCCTATCAAATTCATACAGAAGTACCCTTACAACTTGTGATTTTAAGCATACGATGACAATTTGATTTATGTCTATGAGAGCTATCATGAGGGGTAAAATGGTATGTATGAAAATTTGATTTTTATGTGTGTATTTACCTCCATTTAGCCACAAAACAAGAGGCTTTGTAGTAGGATCAGCAGACGATTCTGCCAAGTAATAGAAGAGAGCTCTACCATTATCAGCATTAACAGTCACATATCCTGAATATTGAGCAAAATTGATCCCACTTGGTTGCCCTGGCAATGCCGATATCTTGTCATTTTCCTTTGATCCTACCTGTGGCACTTTGAATTCTGACACTGATTTCTGTTTCTCAGCAACCGCTACACCGTGTCTAATAACATTTGTTGTTTTTACTCGTCGAGCCTTGAGAAATTCGCGTAGAACATCTACTTCCCCTGCGTAACATTGTTGGGCACTTAGGTAGCAAAAAATTAGAAAAAGACTTAAAACAGAGGAAATATTCATTCTCTTCCTTCCTGATTCAATGAAACAAGAAATGGTGAGTGATAACTCTTCTTTATTACTTATATATATATATAGTGTATGCAAAATGTTGAGAAGGTCGTCAGATATATTTTCTTGTACTCAAATTGGACTAACATCTTTTGTCATTTGTGCTCTTTGGTTTAAACGCCAATCCCACTTAACAGCTATGACTTGTTCCTTAATAAGTTGTTTCCTCACCATTAGCCATCCTTTGCTTTCATCACCGTCAATAATTTTTACATCCACTAATCATTATAGATAATTATCATCATTGATCAACATTATATATAGCTAACCATCATCATCATTTCGCTTCTAATTATCAATCGCTACCATCAACAACCACAATTAATCAGCATTGTCAATCACTATGCCATAACATATTATCCGCAATCACCATCGTTTGTCAACACAGTCTCAAATTGACACACACAATTGCTGCAATCACCAAGTGTCATATAATTTTTTTAAAAATATTTTATGGATATAATATTATATCAATTTAGTATTTTATTTAAATTTTATATTTATTATTTTTTAAACAAAGACAAATTTTATACATTCATATATTGAAAAAACAAATGGTGTTAACTATTTAGTAATATGTGCATTTAGATTAAAAAATCTTAAATTTAACAAAATAAATGAGGCTCAAATATAGGAGAGCAAAAAGTTGTTCCTGTTTATAATTGTTTGTTTATAGTAACGTTCTCATTAATTTTGTATTTTCCTTCTATTTAATTTTCTCAAGTTTTTTCCCAAAATATATCGCGCGCTTCTGTTCATATTTAGCGCGAACAGTTTAGCCACCAAATTTACTCAATTCGGTCCGTTGCGTAAATACTTCCTCGTGATTTAGAAATTTTGTCATTCTGTTGTGCTTTTCTGATTATTTTTTCTCAATTTCTTCATATTCATGGAAGGATCGATGAAGCCGGTGGAAACAAAATTGTGTGTTTGTGTTTTTCTTATTGAGAAATTTGTGTTTGATTTTGATCAATTTTGTTGAGGCAAGGGTTAGGATTTATGAATGTTATTTTTAAGTTACAGTAGTATAAAATTTGTGAAAGTTTGTTTCTTTAGATGCTTCTTTTGCAATTGAATTCGATCTTAAGAATATGAAGTGTTGAAGAATTTGTAGTTCTAGTGTTCATTTCATAGTGTAAAACATGTTCAATAGTGGACATAAGTTGTGATATAACCCAGAGAGTAGCTGAAGAAAAAACTCAAGAAGAATGGATAGACTATAGGTCATTGTTAACCTTCACTAGATATTGTTGCATTATTCGATCCATAATATTTGTTTTGCTGTGGGGAAGGAAGAATTCATCTTCTGTTTAATGGAAACCAGGAGGGAGTGTGCCATTGATGAAGGACGAGAACATGGTCAATGCACGGCCAGGTTGATAGCTTGGCACGAAATGTCCTGCTCCACGTACTGTCACGAATGTCAAGTTCTGGTATTCTACTGCGTAACCACCAACCTGGAGATATGAAATACTTAATTCATATTCATAATTGATAATATCGGAAATTAAGAAATTGTAGAGTTGAAGATCAAAAGTAATAATGACAACATCGTTGATTACCTCCCCATGGAAGGACCACGGGTACCATGCCGTTTTGACTGGTGTTTTGATTTTGTTGATATCATATCTACTTGTCGTTACTGACAAAATATGATCTATGTCTCCACTGGAAAAGAAGAAGAAGAAGAAGACGAGGGGCTTGATCAGAAAATGTTATTTGTTTCGGGATTGCTAAAGTTTTCAGTATTAGTTTTTATGGTGACTGATTTTACTTACCTATAAATCCAAACTCTGATGCCACTTTGCATGAGTTCTTGGAAGATTGGTAGAACAGTATCGGGAGAGTCTTGCCAATAGCCGCCTATGTCATTACTGCACAAGTGAGAATTGAAGCAAGTGATCAAATTAATCGAAAAAAGGATCAGCAATTTCAATTTGAAGAATTAAATTGTCTTAAAAAAATCACAGTATCTATTTACCTGCAAGATCCCCAGGAATGGGGTATATCTCTGACATTAAGTGCCTTTTGCACTTCAATAGTGTTTAGGTAATTGTCTACGTAATTATCTGAGCATGGATCAAATCCATCTATCTGTTATGATACACAAAAGAAGAGGTTATGCTATAGATAATTGCTTGTAATTTGGGCATAGAATGCGGTTGAGCATGGTATTTTATTATACTTTTGCCTTTATTTGTGACACTTAAGATGTTGAATTATTTAGATTGGTATAAACACCGGGAACAAATCATGAGTTAACCAGTGGAACTTACAGGAAGGGAAGTATAGGCAGAGGAGTTGCAGAGTTGGGAATATGTGTTATAACTATATATATTGGCTTGACATGAATCTGCTTCGCTTGTGTACTTGTCACAAGCTTCTGAGGTAGACGTTTCTGTCGAGAAGTTGCAATTCTTGACAATTCCTTCATGGACTTCATCTGATATTAGTGCATGCGTCCAATAAAAGTCGTATGAACCACTATTCCATGTTTCATCGTCGAGGAGGGCATTTCCAGTCTGAAAATCATGTCATATGCAAATAAGATAACATTAGTGGCCTAGTCAGTATTAAAAGAAGGTAATTATCATTTGAACAAGTTTAATTAGCTTACAGCTATTCCTTGCAAGTTGATGACAAGGTTGGGTTTTGTCTTCTTGTGAGATAAGATTAACTGAGCAAGTTGAGGTACGTAGTGGCCAGCATAACTCTCCCCAACGATGTAGAAATCGCGGTGTTTATATTCTGGGAATCTTTCCATCCAATTGACGAGAAAGGTGAAACTGTCTTGTCTAGTCTTTTCATCTCCAGTAGTATAATCTGATGATGTATTAGAATAAGAGAATCCAACACCAGCTGGTGATTCCAAAAACAGGACATTTGCCACTGCATAATCATAGTCACAAAAATGTCATTGTTATTTGTAGATTTCTGATTATTTTTTTCCTGTACTGATGATAGATTTTTGCTATGAAGTACCTTTGTTCCAGGCAAATGGGTTGAGCCACAGAGTTTTTCCATCTTCATTGACGCGGAATGGTCCAAGTTCCACCATCCCTCCATTTCCAAACGAAGAGCAACCAGGTCCTATCAAATTCATCAAAAAGTACCTTTAGAACTTGTGATTTTCAACAAACTATGACAATTTGATTTGTGTGTGTATTTACCTCCATTTAGCCACAAAAGAAGAGGCTTGGTAGAAGGGTCATTAGGTGATTCTGCCAAGTAATAGAACAAAGCTCTACCAGCATTAGCATCAACAGTAACATATCCTGAATATTGTGCAAAATTGATCCCTTTTGGTTGGCCTGGCAATGCCGAGATCTTGTCATTTTTCTTTGATCCTACCTGTGGCACTAAGAATTTTGACACTGATTTCTGTTTCTCAGCAACAGCTAGGCCTTGGCTAACAACATCTCTTGTTTTTGTCCGTCGAGCCTTGAGAAATTCACGTAGAACATCTGCTTCCCCTGCGTAACACTGTTGGGCACTTAAGTAGCACAAAATTAGAAAAAGAGGTAAAACAGAGGAAATGTTCATTCTCTTCCTTCCCAATTCAATGAAACAAGAAATGGTGAGTGATAACTCTTAATTTTTTATATTGCCTACGCAAACCGTTGAGAAGGTCATCAGATATATTTTCTTGTACTCAAATTGGACTAACATCTTTTGTCATTTATTCTCTTTGGTTAAAAAGCCATAGGCATTTTATGTCTTGTTCCTTAATAAGTTGTTTCGATCAGTCGGGGAATTGATAAATTTAAGTACTCGTACTACTAAATCTTAAGGAGATTGATGGCTTTTATTTTTGATGTCATTGTCGATGATCAGACGGAAATGGCTCAAGAAAATAGAGAGTGAAGATGAGTATTATACTGACACTGTATATAACTTATTACTCCATTAAATACTCCTAGTTCAACTTCCACCGATGACGTGCAACATTTAATTACCTTGAGATGGAGAGTATTACTCCTTTCTATCTTTTATACACTCGGGGGTGGTTTGGTTGACCAGGTCATAAGAAATATTAGGGTCGTTTGGTAACGAACAAGTTATTCCGAAATTAATTATTACATGATAAGCTATTTATGGAATAGCTTATCTCATTACCAAAATATAAATGGTGGAATAAATAATTCAATAATTACCTAATACCTCCAACCAAATGCAGAATAAAATGCACTTGAAATTATTATATCTTTTGATTGGCTTTATTAAACTATGTATTAGCTAATATCTACAAACTTGAAGTTAAATAAGAGTCCGTGCATTATTTTGTGCGAAATAGAATATGAAGTAAGAATCTTAGCATTACATTGAACAGAGTCAATATTAAAGACAAAAAGTTCTTAAAATAAACAATATCAAAATAACAATCCCTACAGCTACTATATCATTTATTGCGGAAGTAATTTATTCGTCGTGTTTTCAGCATAACTAAATGTTCGTTAAACCAAACCACACAACGAAAATACATCAAAGTGAAAGGAAAACTTGCTATTCATATAATACAGGGGCGGAGCCAAGGTGTTCGTTGGAAAATCACACGTTGTGTAAAATGTCAAATCAGCTATTTATGAATACAAAATACATATTGAACCCCTTGTCACAACTGATAAATGTTGGCTCAATGTTCTAGGGGTTTCAAATTCATCTTCATGTTGTGGGTTCAACAATTTTTAAAATGAGTCGATAGAGTAGGGAAAAAGTAGAAAGAAACGTTAAACGAGGCATGACTAAACAAGTTAAACATTTTATAAATTTTAAGTTGAAATACAAAAAAGACACCATAAAAGTTAAAAGCATTCTCATGCTTGAATACAAACCATAAAACAGTAATGTAATAACTAATTAATTCTACAAAATCTATTCCATATGAAACCAGCAATCCTTTTTTCACAATCTGTTTAATCGAAACCAGGAGGGAGTGTCCCATTGATGAAGGATGAGAACATGGTTAATGCACGGCCAGGTTGATAGCTTGGCACGAAATGTCCTGCTCCGCGCACTGTCACGAAGGTCAAGTTCTGGTACTCTACTGCGTAACCACCAACCTGGAAATATGAGATACTTAATTCATATTCATACTGGAAATTAAGAAACTGTTAAGAGTTGAAGATTGAAATGAATAATGACAACTTGGTTAATTACCTCCCCTTGGAAGAACCACGGGTACCATGCCGTTTTGACTGGTGTTTTGATTTTGTCGATACCATATCTACTTGTAGTTACAGGCAAAATATGATCTATGTCTCCGCTGGAAAAATAAAAAGGACGAAGCAGAGTGTCTTGAGCTAAGAGCCTAGCAGACAAATTTATTATTATAGTGACTACCTAATTCCTTGCTTGATTTACTTACCTATATATCCAAACCCGAATACCACTTTGCATGAGCTCTTTGTAGATTGGCAGAACAGTATCTGGGGAGTCTTGCCAAAGGCCGTGTATGTAACCACTGCACAAGTGATCAAATTAAACCCAAAAAGAGAGGGGGAAAAGGTGAAGAAAATAAAATGTTTTTTGAAAAACATCTACCTGCAAGATTCCCAGGAATGGGGTATATCTCTGACATTAAGTGCCTTCTGTACTTCAGCTGTGTTTAGGTAATTGTCTACGTAATCAGGTGAGCATGGATCGAATCCATCTATCTGTTATGATACATAAAAGAAGTTATGCTATAGATTGCTTGTAATTTGGGCGTAGAATGTCGTTGTGCATGATCTTTCCTTTTCACTCAGTTAGTCAGTGACACTATTATTTAGATTGGTATAGACACCAGGAACGAAAGCAGTTAGTCAGTGGAACTTACAGGAAGGGAAGTATAGGCAGAAGAGTTGCAGAGTTGGGAATATGTGTTATAATTATATATATTGGCTTGACATGAATCTGCTTCGCTTGTGTACTCGTCACAAGCTTCTGAGGTAGACGTTTCTGTCGAGAAGTTGCAATTCTTGACAATTCCTTCATGGACTTCATCTGATATTAGTGCGTGCGTCCAATAAAAGTCGTATGAACCACTATTCCATGTTTCATCGTCGAGGAGGGCATTTCCAGCCTGAAAATCATGTCATACGCAAATAAGATAACATTAGTGGCCTAGTCAGTATTAAAATAAGGTAAATATCATTTGAACAAGTTTAATTAGCTTACAGCTATTCCTTGCAAGTTAATGACAAGGTTGGGTTCTGTTTTCTTGTGAGATAAGATTAGCTGAGCAAGTTGAGGTACATAGTGACCGGCATAACTCTCCCCAACAATGTAAAAATCACGGTTTTTATATTCTGGGAATCTTTCCATCCAATTGACTAGAAAGGTGAAACTGTCTCGTCTAGTCTTTTCATCTCCAGTAGTATAATCTGATGATGTATTAGAATAAGAGAATCCAACACCAGCTGGTGATTCTAAAAACAGCACATTTGCCACTGCATAATTATAGTCACAAAAATGCCATTGTTATTTATAGATTTCTGATTATTTTTTTCTCAGTAGTGATGATAGATTTTGCTATTAAGTACCATTGTTCCAGGCAAATTGATTGAGCCACAAGGTTTTCCCATCTTTATTGACACGGAATGGTCCAAGTTCCACCATCCCTCCATTTCCGAATGAAGAACAACCAGGTCCTGTCAAAAAATACATATGGTCCTAAGGTTAGGTTCGAAAGACAATTCTAGTGAATTAACGTGGCGTGATGTGTGTATTTACTTGCCTCCATTTAGCCACAAAACAAGAGGCTTTGTAGAAGGGTCATTAGACGATTCTGCCAAGTAATAGAAGAGAGCTCTACCAGCATCAGCATTAACAGTCACATATCCTGAATATTGAGCAAAATTGATCCCACTTGGTTGCCCTGGCAATGCCAATATCTTGTCATTTTCCTTTGATCCTACCTGTGGCACTATGAATTCAGACACTGATCTCTGTTTCTCAGCAACCGCTAGGCCTTGGCTGATAACATTTTTTGTTTTTGTCCGTCGAGCCTTGAGAAATTCACGTAGAACATCTACTTCCCCTGCGTAACATAGTTGGGCACTTAGGTAGCACAAAATTAAAAATAGACTTAAAACAGAGGAAATATTCATTCTCTTCCTTCCTGATTCAATGAAACAAGAAATGGTGAGTTATAACTCTTCTTTATTACTTATATATAGTGCATGCAAAATGTTGAGAAGGTCGTCAGATATATTTTCTTGTACTCAAATTGGACTAACATCTTTTGTCATTTGTGCTCTTTGGTTAAAACGCCATACGCATTTAACAGCTATGAGTCTATGACTTGTTCCTTAGTAAGTTGTATTAATCACTCCGGGAATTGATAAATGGAAGTACTCGTACTAATCTATCTATTCTATACTACTTTAAAAGTATGAACTCCTAAAATGAATGTTGAATTACTATAATACCCCCCAATTAAAAATACTCAATTTGTTTTATTTATTAATTTAATTATTTGTATTATATTAAATGTAAATACCCTTTCATATTAAAGGGTTGTGATTTTCTCAAAGAAATGTGACTTTTCCAAAGGGTTTCGACTTTTTGACAGGTTTTGATATTTTCGATGAGTTCTGACTTTTTCGAAAGGTTGCGACTTTTCTGAAGGGTTGTGCCTTTTCCGATGAGTTGTGACTTTTGCAAAAGATTGTGATTTTTTCGATGAGCAGCGACTTTTACAAAAGGTTGTAACTTTTCTGATAAGGAACAATTAGCACCTATTAATACTACTATTTGTTAGCTATAAATAGAGGGTATCCTTTCACTTTTAAACTATAGTTTTTTAAAGTTTTCTACTCTTCTTCTTCTTCTTAAAAAATCCAACGGTTATTTGTAACAGTTGATTAAGTTAAAAATTTAACGAAATTTGAGGTATCAGATAAGAAAGAGTTGTTGAACAAATTGTAGCAAATCATTCATAAATTCAACTCGTATATTTTCTTACGATTTCCATGAGTTAACAGTGACGAAATGTTGTGGGAAAGATAATAATAATAATAATAAACAAATATAAATAAAGTCACATGATTTGTGTAAGATATTTCTTCTTTGGTTTTTTATTTGTTTTTGTTTACCCTCAAATAAAGCAGTTTCTTTCAGATTTTGCTAAAACACCGAGCATCAACGTAGTTCATTGAATCATTAGTTTTGATGTTAAATCCACTATTTCAAAAATAGATTTTCACTTTTACTTATAATATGATAATATAGACATGATAATAATTATTTTCAATAGATATGTAAGTAAAAGTGAACGAAGAATGTAAAGTGTTGGTGACAAGAAATTTTAATCAAATAGAACTCTAAAGTGAATATAGCATGAACATATATTTTCGTCTTCCTTCTTCATTGGCTATGTATCGCTCCATATATTGTTTTCCTATTATTTTGTGTTCATTTTAATTTGAGAAAATTTTATGTTTGACATTTTCGATGAGTTGTGACTTTTCTGAAAGGTTGTGATTTTTTTCAAACGATTCTGACTTTTTCGAAGGGTTGTGCCTTTTCCGATGAGTTGTGACTTTTGCAAAAGGTTGTGATTTTTTCGATGAGCAGTGACTTATACGAAAGGTTGTAACTTTTCTGATAAGGAACAATTAGTACCTATTAATACTACTATTTGTTAGCTATAAATAGAGGGTTTCCTCTCACTTTTAAACTACGATTTTTAAAGTTTTCTACTCTTCTACTTCTTAAAAAAATCTCAGGGTTATTTGTAATAGTTGATTAAGTTCAAAATTCAATGAAATTCGAGGTACCACATAAGATGGAGTTGGTGAACAAATTGTAGCAAATCATTCATAAATTGACACTCGTATTTTTTCTTACGATTTTCATGAGTTAACAATGAGGAAATGTTGTGGGAAAGACAATAATAATAATAAAATATGAATAAAGTCACATGATTTGGGTAAGATATTTCTTCTTTGGTTTTTTATTTTTTATTTTTTACCCTCAAATGAAGTAGTTTCTTTTTGATTTGGCTAAAACAATGAGCATTAACGTAGTTCATTGAATTATTAGTTTTGATGTTAAATCCACTATTTCAAAAATAGATTTTCACTATTACCTATAATATGATAATATAGACATGATAATATATATATTTTTAATAGATATGTAAGTAAAAATAAACGAAGAAAGTAAAGTGTTGGTTACAAGAGATTTTAATCAAATAGAACTCTATTGTGAATATAGCATGAAACTATATTTCCGTCTTCCTTCTTCATTGGCTATGTATCTTTCCATATATTTTTTCCTATTATTTTGTGTTCATTTAATTTGAGAAAATTTTAGGTCACATGATACACTTCTTGTTAGCTATATAAAAATAGATAAGTAAATAGTGATTGATCATAAAATAATCTTGATTCAAATTAAAGATTCTATAAACAATACTTTAAATTTTATTCATCTATTAATTTTTATTATTGAAAAAGTTTAATATTTTATATCACGATACAACTTCTATAAGATACTAGATACTTTCATTAGATAACAACTATATGGTATGTATGCAGCAGGAAAAAGGAGAAGACTACAATTCTACAAAGATAAGGTAGAAATTTAAAGAAATGAAATATTTTTCACCAAAGGTGATGTTGTTCATATATTAAAATTAAATTATGCTACTTAAATATATATGTATATCTAAAAGAAAGAAATTGTCAAGCTAAATATTTGACATACACTCAAACCTCAATTTAACCATCATTTGTTATAACAATAAAGTACCTTTTTTTGTAGAATTATCTTTCTATGATAGTCGTACTCAAATATTAATTGGTAAAAGATAGATTGCGTATAAAGATAAAATATTGAAATATTTATGGTAAATCTTATTAGTTTCATGCACATACTTAATTTGAAATATGAATATTTAAGAGAGAAAAATTATACTTAAATGGTGTCCATCATTTATGTTCATAACCTCAAGAGGAAAGACTATTGGTGACATTTTTTGTATTGATATTTTTTTTAAAAACTTTATTGGTTAGATTTGTTTACAAAATTGAGTTATGTAAATAAGAATGCTACTAAATAAATGTCACTTTCTCCCCATATTTGAAATTTGAATATATTTTGAAATGTTTCAAAAATATCTGGTCATTTTGATCTCAAAATACAAGTAACTCTATAACAATTTGTATTAATCAGTTTAAAGCATTTGTCCTATGTTTTTGAAGTTATTATTATTTACTAAAAATAATTAATTTAATACTATTAATTTTATTTTACAACATCGTATACTATATATACTATACACAGGTGCCGTGAAACTAGTGTGTATATATATATACTTGGGTGGTTCGTATATTATTTAGAATATTAACATTATAATGGGAAGAGTTGATATTAAAAGACAAAAAAAACTCTTAAAATAAACAATCTCAAAATAACAATCCCTCCCATATTATTTATTGCAAAAACAATTCCACAATGTATAACTAATTGTTCGTTAAACCAAATGAAACAATGAAATACACACAAGTGAAAGGAAAACGTCTTAAATATATAGCCCTTTTTTTTTTTTCTGTTTGGTTTGAATAATAGGATGAAAATATTTTTTTTTTAAAAATCAAGTTTTGAAATTATGTTTAATGATAATTTGGTATAAAAAAATTAACCTTTATATAAAACTTTGAATTTTTTTTCTCAGGCTGTTGAAAAACAAGAACTAACAGTTGTTCTTCTTTATTTATATAAAAAATATAGTAACGGTTCATTAGTTTTGTATTTTCCTTCTACTTTTCCCCCAAATATATGGCGCGCTTCTGTACATGTTTTGCGCGAGCAGAATTTAGGCCTCCAAATTTACTTTATTTCGGTCCATCTCAAATTTCCCATCAAAATTACTCCACCTTTTCTTCGTATTTGCAGGATGATGAATCCGGCGGAAACAAAATTGTGTGTAATTTTGATTCATATTTTGTTGAGGCAAAGGGTTAGGGTTTGTGAATGTTATTTTTAAGTTACACAGTAGTATAAATTTTGTGAAAGTTTTAGTTCGCAAATTATTTCCATGTTAAATTCAATCTTAAGAATATGAAAGGGTTGAAGAATTTTGTCCTTGTAGTATTTATTTCATTGGGTTAACATGTTCAAGAGTCAATCTTAAGAATATCATGTGATTTATGCTTGTGCTGCAAATTTTTAACCTAGTTGCTAGAGAAATATTCACGTACTCATCTTCTTTGTGTCACTTTTCTTTTTTAAGTTCAAGTGATGAGGGGTCCAGGCAGAGTAGGAAGGAAAGGATAGGGGAGCTCCGGCTGGAAATTTAACCCTATGCAACTAGGCATTTGGAACGACATCTATTTAAGTGATTTTTTTTTTATAATGAGAAGAACACATAGTCCATAATTTACACTACATCTCCTTGTTTGGAATATCATAATTGGGTAGTAGTTCTACAAGATTAATGTTCCTTATGTAATCAGCTTTCCTGTTCTTTTTCCCCATCAATAATCTTTTCTCTTCTGTCTGTTTAGTGTAGATGAGGAGGGAGCGTGCCATTGATGAAAGATGAGAACATGGTCAATGCGCGGCCTGGTTGATAGCTTGGAACGAAATGTCCTGCTCCTCTTACTGTCACAAATGTCAAGTTCTGGTATTCTACTGCATAACCACCAACCTAGAAAGGAAAAGGATTATATGAAATAATTAATTTATGTACATACATGATATTCTGAAAATAGACATTGTACATAGAGTTGAAGAATAATGACAACTTTGTTACCTCGCCTTGGAAGAACCAAGGGTACCATGGTGTTTTGACTGGTGTTTTTATTTTGTCTATGGCATATGTACTTGTCGTCACAGATAACATATGATCTATGTCTCCACTGAAATTGTTAAAAACAAAGTCTTAAGAAAATGTTATTGTTTTGAAATCACTAAAATTCTGAATTGTTTCTGATGACTGCTTCCTTGCTTGATTTACTTACCTATAAATCCAAACCCTAATGCCACTTTGCATGAGCTCTTGAAAGACTGTTAGAACAGAGTGCGGGGAGTCCTGCCAAGAGCCGAATATGAAACCACTGCACAAGTGAGAAATGAAGAAATTGAAATTAATCCCCAAAAGATAATAATAAGCCTCAAGAATGAAAATGTTTTAGAGAACTCAATGTATTACTTGCAGGAATCCCAGGAATAGGGTGTATCTTTGACATTAAGGGCCTTTTGTACTTCAGCACTATTTAGGTAATTGTCTACGTAATCAGCTGAGCATGGATCAAATCCATCTATCTGTTATACACAAAAGAAAAAGTTGCCATCACAAAATTTAATAGAAGTATGTAAAATCTACAGAGAGGTGACTGGTGAGCGTATTGGGGCGTAGAATGTTGTTGTGCATGGTCTTTTTTTTTTCCTCACCGTGATCGTCACCTTAATTTGGGCACTGCAAATATTTCTTTTTTCCTCAATAATGAATGAGCAGTTAGCCAGTGGAACTTACAGGAAGGGAAGTATAGACAGAGGAGTTGCACAGTTGGGAATATGTGTTGTAAGCATATATATTGCTTTGAGATGAATCTGCTTGCTTAATGTACTCATTACATGCTTTTGAGGTTGTCTCTGCCGAGAAGTTGCAATTCAAGACAATTCCTTCATGGACTTCATCTGATATTAGAGCATGGGTCCAATAAAAGTCGTATGTACCACTGTTCATTGTTTCGTCATCGATGATGCCATTTCCAGTCTGAAATCCATGCCATATGCATGCAATTAAGACGCAGACACGAAATAACTAGTGACTTAATCATGAGAAAAGTAATTTAGTGACCATTTGAAGCTTAGCTTACTGCTATTCCTTGCAAGTTAATGACAAGGTTTGGTTCTGTTTCCTTGTAGGATAAGATCAGCTGAGCAAGTTGAGGCACATAGTGGCCAGCATAACTCTCTCCAGTAATATAGAAATCTCGGTGTTTATATTCTGGGAATCTTTCCATCCAATTGATGAGAAAGGTGAAACTGTCTTGTCTGGTCTTTTCGTCTCCAGTAGAATAATCTGTTGATGTGTTAGAATAAGAGAATCCAACACCAGCAGGTGATTCTAAATAGAGGATGTTTGCCACTGCATTAAATTTGCAAAATTGTTGTCATTGTTATTTACAGGTTTGTGATTTCTCTCAATTGTGATGACAGATTTTGCAGAAGAGAGAGGTATGAGTACCATTGTTCCAGGCAAAAGGGTTGAGCAATAAGGTTTTTCCATCTTTATTGACGCGGAATGGTCCAAGTTCCATCATGGCTCCAGCCCCGAATGAAGAGCAACCAGGTCCTGTATATTGAGTACGTACAGAACAACAAAGTAACTTGACAAGTGCGCCAACATAGTTTTAAAAGCAGCAGCAGAATGAATAACACAATAAAGAGACGAAAAATGATTTTATTAAACTCTTCATATTTTTGCATGAAACTAGAGTTGGAAAAACTTTCTTCGACTTGGCAATTGGAGTAGTATGGTGTGTGTATTTACCTCCATTTAACCACAAAACAAGAGGCTTGGTAGAAGGATCTTGAGTTGATTCAGTGAAGTAATAGAACAATGCTCTACCAGCATCAGCATCAACAGTAACATATCCTGAATATTGATCAAAACTCACACCACTAGGTTGCCCTGGCAATGCTGAGATCTTGTCATCTTCCTTTGATCCTACCTGTGACACAAATGCTGATCTCCATTTCTCAGCAGCCGCTAGGCCACTGTTAATACTTGGTGTACTTTGCAAGTGATTTGCACGTCGAGCCTTGAGAAATTCCCTTACAATATCTGCTTCTCCTGCATAACATTTTTGGGTGCTAAGGTAGCACAAAATTAGAGAAAGACTTAGCTGTAAAACAGAGGTTACTTTCATTTTCTTTCTTTCCATGCAAGAAATAAGAAAGGTCGGGTGTTCACTCAACCTGTAAATCTTCTTCATTATTTATAGAGTATGTAAAATGTTGAGAATGTCATCCTTTTTTTTGTGTATGTAAAATTAGATTGAAGCCATTGTATTGACATGTTTGTTCTTTGTGCACATCTGTTAAGGAAAACGTTAATAGGACATTTAACAGAAGTAGTATATATTAAGGAAATAGTTGCCTTGTAGTTTCTATCTTCTTTCTTTTGATATTTTCGTTTGAATTTAGTATATTGGATCTACTCTATAAATGAAAAGAGAATTGAGACTCTCTACCTCAATCTCTCCCAAATTTAACTCATATGTTGAGAGAGATTAGCATAAGCTGCTGATTGTAGTGCCAAACAAGTAGCTAATTAATCAAGGTCCTTTTCATATATATACTATATGTTGAGCCAAATGTATTTAGCATTAATCTATTGATCCAAACACTAAAGCCACTGGACATAAGCAATTTAATATACATTAGTTGGTAATACTGATCCTAGAGTGTTCTTCCAGTTTTTTATAATACAATTGGTTGTTGCCTGTTGGGACATGACATCAAACTAACATACCATATGAACTCATATCATAATTTAGTCTATTGCGTATGAATTCAATATTCTTGCTGAATTGCGCCAGATATGTAGAAATGAATTTAGAGAACTGGGAATCGAAAAATGACGACCTTGATTAGAGGGGAAAATTGAATGGACGGGTTTAGTCAAAGTTGGTGTTGAGTCGCATATCGATGGGATGAGATAAATTCATCTTTTATTTGTATTTGTTAGTTTTTGGAGTTGAATTAGGTCTAAGGATTACTCTTGTTCATCTTTTCCTCTTTGACTCCCATCATGATAAAATAAAAATAAAAAAACTCGATCATGAAACAATACTTTGATCAATAAAATATGTCCAATTATTAGAATGAGTTTGAAATGGAGTTCCAATAAAGCCAATCCCCAAATGCTAAAAATGATTGGCAAAAAACATATTCAACAAAGCAAAAGCTCTACGTGGTTGAAATTGTGGAACTTGATGCCCTGCTCCCCTAACTGTTGCAAAAGCTAATCCATCATACACCACCATATATCCAGCTACCTGAAAAAAAAAAAAAAAAACCTTTAATTAACAAAAAGAAAAGTAAATTAAATAGTTCATAACATTTATTTTTACATATACAAAAAGAATTAATTAGATACTAGGTAATATTCTTCTCATCTGTCTTAACCTATTGCTGATGGGAGGTGATGAGTATCCCATAGAATTAGTCATGGTGTGAGAAAACTGTCCTGGACACCATGGCGATAAGAACTTACTTCTTTTGTATCATCATGCCAAACATGCCAAGGCTTGATGACTGTAAGGTTCATAGCACTGATGCTATAACGAGTTGAAGTTACTGAAACTACTGCATCTACATCTCCACTGTTTCCACACAAAATAAATAAAGTAGTATTATAAGCATAAACTAATTAAAAATGATTATTTATAAGCTAATCCAATAATTAATTACATTTACCTGAAAAGAAGTATCCTGAGACCAGATGCAATTAGTCTATTGTATATTGGAAACATACTTGATGGACTATCCTTCCAAGGCAGACCACTAACATGTACCAAATGAAAGAAAAAAAAATCCATATCATATATGTAAAAATGTTTTAATGTATATACACTGACAGTGTAAGTAAATACCTGCAAGGTTCCCAAGGGTTAGGAAGGTTGGTGAGGTTGGCATGCAAGGCCTTTTGAACTTGAGGAAGATTGAGATAATCGCGAACATAATATTGTTCACAAGGATCATATCCATTTTTCTTGAATACTCTTCTTCTTGATGACGATGATGAATCATCGTCATCAAGGGGACAAATGGGACCATAGATGTTGTAAGGATCTATGTTTCCAAACTCAGTTTGAGCTGTGCTTTGAAATTGTTCACATGTTTTTGTCTCAGTTTGGGTTTTGCAATGTTGTTGGATGCCTAAATAAGTCTCGTCTGATATTAGTGCATGACTCCATAAATAATCTAATTGCCCTTTCTCGTCTGTTACATCGTTCATTATACCATTTCCTATCTGCATCCATACAATTATTTGGTTTTCAAACAAATAATAATCCATGCTTGTTATTCTTTTCTTGTAGAAACAAATAAATGATCAAATAATAGACCATATTTTGTCGACATTTTTCATGGCACAAGTTGTGGGTGGGGCAAAAATTATGTGTAGTGTTATATAGGTAATAGGGTCGGTTCAAAGAAATTGATAGTCTAAAGTTAAATTTTTTTTATTATTATTTATTTATCTTTTTTTATGTGAGTTAGTTTGATTAAACATGAAATTTAATTTAAAAAATTAAAAATAAATTGGATATATATTCTATTCTTAAATTAAACTTTTAATACATAACCAATCCCTTAAGTTTATGAGGATATTTTGTTTAGACACTTAAACTAAGTCTTGTTTTTGTTGAACACTTCAATTCCTAATAAAGTGTTTCAATTTGACATTAATTACTAGTTCAAATTTTGGAAAAAAAAATAATCTTATAAATTCTCATTCGTCTATTATAGAATAGTTAATTAGTTAACCATATAAAATATGTTAATATTTCTTTTAATTATATGTCTCGCCTCAATAAACCTTAAAATCCCATAAAAAAAATTATTTGAAATTGATGCGTATAATAAAAGGAAATGAAAATTTTTCAATTTCTGGCATGCATGTAGTTTGTGGTGGTTTTTAATTAATTGGTCATGGATGTAGAATCCTGTGAGCCAATCCAATCGAGTCCGAGGTATACCGTATACAAGTTATATACATATGATAACATATATATATATATAAATAAAAGAAAGGGTGAAGAGTATTAAAATGAAAATATTACCATTATTCCTTTGAATTGGATGTTGAAGTTTGTGTTGGTTAGCATGTTGCTCTTGACAATGATGTCTGCTAGCTCTGGCACGTAGAATCCTGTCATCTACCAATATTAGCTGTCTAATTGACCACTCTCTTAAATAATAATAGTTGTATAACATATATAGCCAAAATTTTCAATCAAAATGTCTATTTCTGCTTTGAGAAGAGGACATAACTATATTGTATAGTATGTGATTCAATTATATAAATGCTCAGACAATTGTCTCTGATAAAGTGGTCCTTAATTCTTACAAATTTAACATCTTATTTGACACAAACCAATCATGGGCTCTCACTACTAGAACCATCGATCCAATACTATCTTCTTCTTTTTAATTTTCTACTCCCTCCGTTCGAATTTACTTGTCAAATATTTTCTAATTTAATTTCTACTTTTACTTGTCATATTTGACAAAATCAAGAGAAGACCAAAATTATTTCCCTATTGCCCTTAATTTATTAACGTTGAAAAATATGTTTGGGACACTATCAATTACTTAATAGCTAGGGGTGAAATAGTAAATTCATTATATCAATTATTGTTTTTCTTAATAGGTGTGTCAAGACAAAATTTGACAAGTAAATCTAAACAGATGGATGGAGTAGTTAGTACTCCTCCCTTTTTAATTTGTTTTATTTATTCTGACTTGATATGGAATTTGAGAAAATAAAAAAAACTTGAATATTATGGTTTTAAATTAAAAATATATCAAATTATATCATTTAACCTTATAATCTTGAACATGTCGTATGGAAAGTTGAAATTAAAAGGTTGTCAAACACATTCTATTTTAAACTGACTAAAAGAAAAATAGGACAAATAAATTGAAACGGAGGGAGTAGTAAATATACCTGCATAACTTTCTCCCATGATGTAGAAATCCCTGCTTTTGTAATGTGGAAACCTCTTGAACCAATTCACTAGAAACCTATATGCATCTTGAGCTGTCACTCAATGACATAGTTTGTAAGTGTCATGATCTCAAAAGTAATTTAAGAGTTAAATTTTATGATTTAGACTGTCAAATTAATTTTTTTAAATCAAATAATTAGTATTATTTGAAGATTAAGGTTGGGTGTGTAGTGTACCAGTCCTCTTGTCGCCTGATTGTGCATAATCTGAGCTAGTATTGGAATAGGAGAAGCCAACCCCTGCTGGTGACTCCAGGAACATTACATTTGCAACTGTATAAAAAAAACATATTTAAAAATTAACAAACATAAATTCAATAAAATATAAAATTCATCTGATATTATATCAATAAAATATTTTTAAAAAGTTATCAGATAATCGGTGGTGATGGTGATGTTGATGGCTTATGGCGGTAGTTGTGGGTGTCGATTGGAGAGGGTGTTGGCTAATAAAGATGTCATGGTGGGTACATAGTAATTAGTGATGATATGGTGGTTTATAGATGCGGTGGATGATAGTGATATGTAGCAGTGATAGTGATAGTGAATGATGATTGTGGTTGACGATATATAGTCATGACTAATGATAGTGATTGATGGTAACGATTGATTGTAATGATAGACAACAATAATGATTGTGACTGATAATTAATAATGGTAAATAGGATTGATTACCTTTGTTCCAAGAAAATGTTCTGGAATAAAGGGTTTTACCATCAGGTTTTACACCAAAAGGCCCAAGCTCTAGCATGGCCCCAAATCCTAATGATGAACATCCTGGACCTGCAAGTGCAAGTGCAACCCAATAATGTTGTTCATCCAATTATAGCCATACAAAATTATAACTCTTATCTTCATACTAACCAATACTCCCTCTGGTCCATATTAAGTGAATTTGTAAAGCAATACGCATCATTACAGAAAAATAATTAGGACATGATTGTACACCGCTTTCTATTTTACCTTTTTAGTTATTCTCAATCTATTCTTGAAAATAAAAATAATTTCAAGTATAATCATAAGTATGACCAATTAACTTTCTTGAACTTACTATCATATAGAAAATAAAAATGATGATAAAAAATTAAAGAAATTTTCAACAACTCTCTTCAACATTGAATAATTTATTTATTTCGAACATCGAAGAAAAGCTCAAAATTATTATGAAGTACTAGAGGAAGTATTTTTTTTTTTCACTTTCACTTTATAAAAGAACAAAAAGAAATAAAAGAAGAGAACAATACGAATAAAGCTACCAATAATTCTCAAGTTTACGTCCCTACTTATTTACTTCATCTGTGTTTCTTTGAACTACTAACTGGAAATGTTCCTCGGACTATTAAATACCTTTTCGACAATTAAATGGTCATGTATCCCCTCTTAGTAATCAAATTCCAAATGAATAATTACAAAAAAAAATCAAATTTATCCTAATCTAACAAACGATCTGAACAAATTTCTAAAAGATCTTCATACTTCCTAATTAATATTGAAGATAAGTAAAGGATAATTTAATTAGTCAAATAACTCTCTTCTCTAATCTTATTATATATGATTTTTCTTATTGAACATGTCGATTGTCATACCCTTAGAATTACTTATTCTGAACGGGATTGAGAAAAAAAAATTAAGTATTAATTTTCAGGTTAAAATAAAGTATTAAGTCACACAAAAGATAATTATCCCTAAGAATGGATTAGTCAACTGAAAAATAATGTTAGTCACTTGATAAACTGATGACACATTTCTATTTAAAAGGTATATTTTACCCTTAATTGATAGTCAAACTAACACATATAAAATTACGCACCACCATATTATATATATAAGTTAAATCCTTAATACTACTAGTAGTCAACTAAAATGCATCAGATATATGTGCACACTACAGAAATGGAAATATGAAACAAAAACAAACATACAAGAACTAGAAGTCATTCCACTGCCAAAAAAAGAAAAGAAAAATTATCGACAGACTAAATTTTATAGCTAAATAGTAAAATCTAGTTACGAGTAATTTCGTGACGAAGATAAGAAAGAAGAAAATGATCAAAACATCACCTCCATTTAGCCAAAGAACAAGTGGTTTAGAAGAAGCATTTCCAGAAGCAGATTCAGCAAAGTAATAAAAAAGGCTTCTTCCATTTTTTTCATCAACATTAACATAACCTGCATACTGCTTAAACTTCACATTTGTTTTTGGTTGTCCTGGAAGACCATCTTTTATCAAATCATCCTCCATATTTCCAACATGTAATTTTTCTTCTTCATCAGAATCAAATACCAATTTTTCAGTGGACCATGTTTCATCCTGATAAGAATTAATCATTCGAGAACGTATTTTCGAACGACGCCACGACATTAATGTACGTGCCTGATTATCCATTTGGAAGCCATGGACAATTAGACCATGAAAAATTAATGTTACAAGGAAAAAGAAGTTCAATTTTGTGAGGAACATGTATTTCATGTGTTGCTTCTCCATTATTTTGTGTTTAGTGACACTATGGTTATTTATATATTATAAGGAGATATATTTGGACGAGTATGAATTATTTGAGGTTAAGTTTGTCTTTTCGACAGAAACTTTATAAAAATGGATAATCATATCTTATCTTTAACTCAATTATTATTCAAGATGCTCTTCATTGCAATCTCATATATATGTAACCACTCACTTGTTGCTAATTCCAAAAAAAAACATACTACTACCTACGTAATAAATCATAATGCCAGCTCATCTATTTGCAATATATATATATATATCGAGTTTAACATTTATATAAGTAATAACTAATTATTCATAAAAAGTAAAATTGTAAGTTAAGAATAAAACAGTTATTCGATGCAACATGTTCAAACATTTTAATATTGTAAAAAGAGTTACGTTGTAATACTCGATAATTTATAAATTCAATATTTCCACAAAACACTGAATCGTGAAAAATATCGATAATTTTATATTGCCTAAAAAGCCCTCGTTGATTTGTCAGATCTCTTTTGTTACTAAATTCCAAGATTATCTGGGAGAAAGGATGACCAAATAATCAAAGAGTTGATTTATTCGACTTAGTTATATCAAAGTCGTAAAGCTATATCGCAAATGGAATAACAATTTTGCTTGGAAGATTTCTTTCGTTAGTTTTAACCACTTCCAATAATTGAAATTTTTTGTTACGCGTAATCATAAATCTTTTGAATAATATTTTTGTAAATATTTTAAAAAAGAAATGCGCGATAAGGGCTAGGGGGGTAAAAACAAAAACTTGATCATGCATCTCTATTTATATGTTCAAAACTAATTGCATATATGTTAGAGAGTTCGATTAAGTGTGCGTTTGAACATAAGAATTCTGAGATTTAGACAAAAGTAATAAGAATTCTGAGATTTAGACAAAAGTAGTATGTAATTGTATTCAAGTTGAAAATGATATTTGAAATTTAAGTTATTTTTAAATTGTTGCGAGTGATTTAGAGTGACAATTGTGAAAACAGTATGAAGTTTTCAAATTGAAAAAATCTTTTTGGCAAGAAAATTTGGCCAGAATTTGATCATAATGATATTTTATCTATGTTATTTTACCTTTTTAAATATTTTTACCCTTTTAACTTTAATACCTTTTAACTAAAAAATGGAAAAAAGATCAGTTTATTTTAAAATTAAAAAAAATATTATAGTTTTTTTAATTTTTTGGCCAAATTTTTTAGTCATTTAGCACTTTCCTTTCAAATTAACAATTTTATGTTCAAACAGTTTTTTAGAATAAAATTCCGGAAAGAAGTGAACTATCCATTGGTAAACGGGACCTAAATGTGACACAAGAGTGTGATTTTCAACATCAACTTTTGCTTTTCTATGTGGGGTAGGAAGAAAGATAAGTCTACCATGTAAAAGAATTAAAGAATTTTCAAATTATTTGTAATGATGGCTTCTATTAATCCAATTTTGACCCATACAAGATAGTGGGACTAGGTAGTCGTACTTGGCTATTGATGGACCACTTGACCAATTATTTGCTCCACAATGTTAATACGAGCAAAAATACAATTTTCTATCAAGTGTCTCCTTTTGTGGAATTCATATTTCTTTTCTCAATCATTAGGCATTTCTGGCACATAACCTCCTTAACAGTCCATACAAAAACAATGAAACACAGAGAGCTGAAGAAATAAAATATGTGTTCTAGAGTTGACTAATTTGGATTCATGAAGTCCCACTTTTAGGGTAAAATGTGCCAGACAAAAAGACCAACAAACTCTAGACTTCTGATTACTAATTAAGAATGAAAGAATACTTATCATCCACTACAACCTTTTAACGATGGAGGGTTTCTACTCTCACTTTGGGGCTAAAGCGCTCCATAAAAGAGAGTGATTGCTTACCTTCCCTATCAGAATCTTTTGATGGTGCATGCAGTGTCACTTTGGTAGTTTCACCCTTTTGAGTCACAAGGGAAAACGATATAGGCAAGGACTTAAACTGAAGTGTATTGATTTCGATAAAAGAAATGCATATCAGCTGAAGATACAGATCCTATTTCATTGCTCATTTCTCCAATTAATCGATCATGTTCAAAGGCCCATCGATAAAAGAACAAATCGAATAAACATGCCTCTGATGAATACTGATCTTATATAGTCTCCTAGTTCTAACCATTTCTAGCTTCTGTACCAGTACCACACTGATACAAGTACTACGACTAATCGGTTATGGTCCTAAACATGTTTCTGACCTATATCTCAATAAGCACCAAACTAATAAAAAGTAGTCCATTGCCAAATCATTTCTAGTCTCACATAGTATATCAAATACTAGGATTGATATATTGGAGAACTTACAGCTATTTGTGATTCTGCATGAAAGTTCCCTCATTTCTTGATCCTAGGCAGTTTGTGAAGGCTATAAGAAAAATATAAAGTCAGACATCAAGATAAGTTTAAAAGGCAGCAGAAATCGAAACAAGTTTTCACCAATCATCATAGCTCACATCTCTAGGTATAACGTTTCACATATCTTGGACTCACTAAGCATAAATCAAATCCAGCTACAAAATTCTCATCAAACACTATATGCTTTAATCTTTTAAGTCGATTTAAATTTAAAACCCCCAAAGAAAAAAGAGTGTTTTGGCAATGTCTCCTTTAGCAGCGGTTGACTACAGTTTAGCTAACAGGCTGCTGATTCCCGTAGCCGTTAGAGGCTGCTCCAGCAGCATACATGCCAGAATCCTGATTTTGTGATGCGCCGTATCCATATCCTCCATAATTTTGCCTTCCATAATAGCCGCCCCCATTACCAGAATCAGTTCTCATCTGCAAAAGTAGAGACAAGTAAACAGGTTATAGAAGAAGATAATTTACCACAAGAACAAAACACGACTGAATATTGCAGCCTGCAAAAGCTTCAATAGATCCAATACAAAAGTCAACTAACTAGGAGTGCATACAGAATATAGATGAACTGAAATTTGCCATTGGACTCTTGAAGTTCCAATTACCCAAAAAAAAAAACAGAAGGATTAAGACGAATGAAACAGGAGTAGCAATCAAGAAATTTATCAATAACATCCAAAACTATTCAAATTGGCCAAAAATTTCATATTCAGAAAAGATTTACCATTAGAAATCTTTTGTAAAAGTATCAAGCCCCAATGTAAAAGATTTGATCATTTTGGAAAGGGTCGACTTCTAAAGCGACATGTAAACAAAACCATCTAAAATTTCAAACAAGGGACTAAATATGTGAAGGAGAAAAGCTTCTGTAGAACATTCAATATAGACAAAGGTCGACATTTGAAAGGTAGAATTGTAAAAGATTCGATCATTTTCGCGAAGGGACAACTTTTAAAAGGCTGCAGACTGAACTGATCACCTGCCAACATTTAATTGTTTTATTGAGAAGCCAGCTAATATCTCCTTTTTTAAAAACTATTTTGATCAGACAGAGTTGATATTGTTTGTATAGAATATTGATGTGGGAAATACCTGCTTGTTTGCTGGACTTCGCCCCCAGGAAAGACGAACTGCCTGCTTTCCAATTATAGCCCCACTTAATTTTTGTATCGCCTCCTGAGCAGAGCTCCTACAAAACATAAAAACCCAGTAGGTCTGTCAAGCATGCTGCCTTTTCTTCTTATTTTTGTTTCTGCGGGACAAGATTCATTTGAATAATTGCACCAAGAAGGTACTGATATGTACAGCAAAAAGACCTTTTAATCCGAAAAACATGTAGGGAATTCAATAAAAATATTTACATCTTGATTGCACAGCAACTTGCACCAAGAAAATATATCATATTCTGGGTGCTGCATTTCAAAACTTCAGAATAAGACTACACTATTTTATACTATAGCAATAACCTAAAACTTTGCATCTTTTTTTTTTTTTATAACCGTAGTGTTTGGTGTTCAGATTAGCTTGTGCGCACCTCGACTAAACACACAGCTTTAAAAAGAATAAGTATGCTAGGTTAAAACCATGGACCAAAAGGAAACAAATCTAAACTTCACTATCTTATTCGTTATCAACTTATCAAAAATCTGAGACTAATACTCTGCCCATAAGCGGCAGGTGTTACACGACATATTATTCTCAAATCACTATTTATGTTCACTCTTGGGCAATTTCTCAAGAATCATAAACCAAACCAAATAACAAAGGTCCTTAAACTTAAAGAACTCATATTTTAACTCAATATCTTGAATTAATCCAATTACTTAAATGGTAAACTATCAAATGAGATTAAATGACAAAAAATACTGAAGTTATCTACCAATCAATGTCCATGCCTCAAGACTCGTAGCATCACTTCTCTTCTAAGTTTCTCAGAAAATGATGCGTAAAATAATTCACTACTAATCACCACCTTGCATTTAAAGTCAAGCATTACAGAATTTTACCTGTCAGAAAATTGTACAAAACCACATCCTTTTCCGGCAGGTATTTTCACAGAGACCACTTCCCCAAACTGAGTAAAGGACTGCCTCAGTTCCTCGTCAGTGACATCAGAATCAAGTCCTCCAACAAAAATCTACCATAAAGAAAAAGTTAGACCAACTAACTATTTTTCTACAAGTAGTAGTTGAATTGGGAGTTACTCCAATTAACTAACTTATGACCAACTTCCACAAGAAAATGGAGCACTTACTGTCGTGTTTGATGAATCACCATCAGACTGGGATCCATGGGTTGCAGAACCATTTGATGCATATCCACCAGACAATATCACAGCTGAACAAAAAGAATAAGCAGTTCTGGCCTCAATAAAAAGTTGAACATGACATCTAAAATTTGATGCAAACAACTGCTAGCACATACGTAAGAAATAACTGGTCACAATAAACCACAACAAGAAAACCAAGCTCAATAAATCTAGCAAAATTTGGTGCATCCAGGATAAAAATAGCAGCATGCTTTGCACCTAACTTGTTCAGCCAGGTAGAAAAGTTGATGCTGTCTTTGCTCTAAACAACACATCCACTACGTTTGTCAAGCTTCAATTTG